CTGGTACGGCAGCTCCCCCAGAATGTCCCGGTACGGCCGCTCCCCCCAGCCTGTCCCGGTACGGCCGCTCCCGCAGCCTGTCCCAGTACGGCCGCTCCCGCAGCCTTTCCCGGTACGGCCGCTCCCTCAGCCTGTCCCGGTACGGCCGCTCCCCCAGCCTGTCCCGGTACGGCCGCTCCCCCAGCCTGTCCCGGTACGGCCGCTCCCCCAGCCTGTCCCGGTACGGCCGCTCCCCCAGCCTGTCTCGGTACGGCCGCTCCCCCAGCCTGTCCCGGTACGGCCGCTCCCCCAGCCTGTCCCGGTACGGCCGCTCGGGCCTACCATCAACACCTGCGGCACATGTTTACCCGGTGCCTTATACCGGTAGATGTGTGTGTCCCTGCTGCCTTATACCGGTAGACGCGTATCCCTGTCGCATATCAGATTACTAGGACATGGTAGAGAGGGCGAGGTGTATACCTTGCTTCTCGGTGTAGATACACTGAGTTTACTTTAGCCGTGGAGTATGCTCAAGGTTAAAGTATACCTGCTGGAGGGTCAGTATGGGATTGTCACGGCTTTAGTCACTCTCCAGTGGGGAGGAAGCAGTGGAGGGGGTGATAATGGGGGAGAGAAGGGGGTGCGGAAGTAACAGATATGTTGGGGGTAGGGGAGGAAGGGGTGGAAGAGGAGGGGATGGTGGGGAAAGCAGGGGAGTGGGTGGGGGTGGGAAGGGGGTGGGAGGGGGACATGACCACCCCTGCAAATGACAGTGCTGCAGAGAAAATAACAATGATGAACCATCAACCTGAAGGACACGCATTTCCAGAGACAAATAAAAGAGGGAGGTTTGTCGGCGTCCACGGCGAGGTCTCCGCCAGGGCGAGGTCTCCACCAGGGCGAGGTCTCCACCACGGGGAGGTCTCCACCACGTCAGGGTCGTCAGAGACATAGAATTTGTTTTTGTAGACATTTATATCCGTTGTGATATTAAAGGTGATTTAGACGCGACGATTCTCATCTTTTACCTTGTCTGAATCTGCCAAGATTACGGGAAGCTTTTGGTAAAGACCAGTGGTTTTGTGTGTCCGTCCTGAGGTGCTCAGGTCCTGAGCGCTGCCGCGGACATTACACGCCTCAGATTTAAGACTTGTTGGACTAAGACGGGATTATCACATCGTAGAGCTGGGAAGTAATGGGGGGCTGTCATTGATTTCCCCGTCTCACTTGAACTGGCATTAGGGGGGACTCGTGGTGGTTTGTAGCAATAATTTCTTCCGTCCCCAGAATATTAGTAGCTATTTTAAATACGCGACGCGGATATATTCATGGATATAGACACAGAAGATGGAAGTTAGCATTGGGGTTTCTTCAGATAGGACTGTTGGGGACCCCCCCCCCCCCAACCCCTCACTCCATCCGGTCAACCAGTACCTCGGAATGCTGTGTGATATCTTACTTGGTCCCGCTATCCTGCTGCGTGTATTGACTACAGTAACCTCTGCGGCCTCACAGAATACAATGGAATCAGTTGTGCTTCGGGGGATGGAAAATGTCCTTTGTAGAAGCTTCTATTTCAATAGTTCTTCCAGGACTGTGTTGGTGCTGCTATCATACTTCGACACACAATTATAATAGCCAATACTCAGATGACCAACCCCTTGTACAGGTGGACTCATCATATCAATAAATTTACACCCACCTGTGTTAAGCTTCTCTGACTTAGACACTGGGGAACTCTGCCCTCGACCTCACCTCTCACAGTAGTACAGGAGGAAAGGAAGGCAAGTACTTGGTAAAATTCAGATAAAAACATTTATAAACAAAAATAACAATTTATCATTTTAGAGTCACAGAAACCTCCTCTGGTAGAATAGTCATGCCAGGCTATTTCCTCTACAGCCTTAAAAAAAAAGTCTGCACTGTAAGCATTCTTAAATTTGATCATCATATTAAATGACCGTAAATGGACATTATAAAATAATATGGTGATTACTGAAAACAGTCATCTGGAACTTGCTGTCGCAATTACTTATAGTCACAATATTGGCCATCAGTAGGTAATCAAATGACTCAGTGGTCATTAACATAAGAAAAACAGGCACACTCTCACAGGTACTTTATAATAACTAAAGACTGAATAATTATGTATATAAAGTAATATGACAATGTGTATTGCATAGCCAAATAATTTGTCACTGGCATAGGCTGCAATATTTTTTTTATAATAATACCATTCTCATAACAATAAATTATAATTAGTGTGGCAGTCGCCCACATATTAATGGTTAATAATAATAATAATAATAATCAGCATTAATGATCAAGACAATACTTGTACCATTCTCATCCTCCACCTTCAGTCACTGACAGTGTACCAGACAGTCTTCAACTTGCCTGAAAACACCGAGGCATCGGTAATAATTATTCTAATGGGAAATATAAATACTGTACATTAATATATATATTTCACTCTTTAAATCTTATCTCTGTGGTGTAGGGTGTCGTTTAAGTTGGCTATTAACACTAACGCGCATTATCCTGTTTCTATACTGCCATGTAATCTTACAACATCAGAAATAAATCAGATATAAACACAAAATTAATTGGTAAAGATTACGTCCTCTGGTCGTACTTGGAAAATCTGCCCCAAGGGAAAAAATCCCTGATATTACCTCAGATTACTAACAGACGCTGTGAAGGTCCCAGCAGCCTCTTGGCCACACCTCAAACATCACACATTCTGACTCTGATTGTGTCCCTCTGACTCTGATTGTGTCCCTCTGACTCTGATTGTGTCCCTCTGACTCTGATTGTGTCCCTCTGACTCTGATTGTGTCCCTCTGGAACACGGGGGGTTTATAATCACTTGTCAATCACCGAGAAAATTCATTACCCGGGTCACTCGCCCTCTTTACTATATACATGATTGCCTCGGGCAAACACTCGTGCAAGGGCGTCCTCTATTTTGAGACAAGAGGACACCCTCCTTAGGTGCCAATATTTCTTCCCTCTTCTTAGGGGACTGTGGATTGTAGACAGTGGTTCCACACACCAGACCGTCGAATGGTCTGGTGTTGAATTATTCTGGTATACACAATACCAGAATAATCAAATTTATTATTCTGCTATTATGTATATAATTTTGTCTTTTACCTATATATAGTTTTCTTTAAACTTTTTTAATATTCATTTTAGTGAATATATATTGAAATATATTTAATGGTTTCTAGCTAAACCAGCGTTGTAAATATTCTTTTTAGCGCTGAACATGGAGTTTGCTATTCCGAAACGTCTGGTTTTAATAAATAGAAGATTTATATCTTTTCTCTTTTACTGTTTCTAATAAGATTAAAATTCCCAAGAGGAAAACCTATCTCTGATATATATAATTGTGTGTGTGTATTCACCTAGTTATATTCACCTAGTTGTGCTTGCTGGGGTTGAGCTCTGCTCTTTCGGCCCGACTCTCAACTGTTAATCAATCATCTGTTACTAACTACTAACTTTTTTTTCCTCACACCCCCACACAGCCCCAGGAAGCAGCCCGCAACAGCTATCTAACCCCCACGTACCTATTTACTACTAGGTAACAGGGGCATCAGGGTGAAAGAAACTGGCCATTTGTTTCTGCCGGTCCCGGGAATCGAACCACAGTCCACATGACTACGCATCAAGCGTGCTGTCCACTCAGCCACCGGCCCCTGCTGTGTGTGTGTGTGTAAATCACGAAAATTAACACGTGATGAACAATGTGACAGTATCAGACCAGGAAGGAAGAATTAAGACAAGAATTTCCTAAGTACTTTCGTATTTAATAATACATCTTCAAAAGGATGATCTTCTCTTCAATTTCAGTTTATCTTCAAAGAAAGCAGAATCAGACTAACTTCTATCTGCTACGCATCACTGCACAGAGGTATAGAGAAGCAAATGTGATATCTGACAGCTTCACATACTTAACAGACGGATCAGTAGACCAGACTGAGACAAGAATTTCGAGCTGTAGTTAAGGCAGGAAATCCTAGAGTTAGATGGAGACAAATGGTGCTCAACTTATGGAGATGCAAGTCATTTAAAAGACTTTGAAACATGCATCTGGTGAACACCAACAACAAGTTACCATCTTCTTGAGGTTATCTTGAGATGATTTCGGGGCTTTTTAGTGTCCCCGCGGCCCGGTCCTCGACCAGGCCTCCTCCCCCAGGAAGCAGCCCGTGACAGCTGACTAACACCCAGGTACCTATTTTACTGCTAGGTAACAGGGGCATAGGGTGAAAGAAACTCTGCCCATTGTTTTTCGCCGGCGCCTGGGATCGAACCCAGGACCACAGGATCACAAGTCCAGCGTGCTGTCCGCTCGGCTCCGACCGGTTGAGTGACCATACACACAGATTCGAAAACTGCCACTGAAATCTTGCAACAAGAGCTATTACGTGACAGCATTTCAATAATGAAACCACGCCAACGGCAAAATCGTCGAATACATATCAACTGGTTGCTAATTCATGTAAGAATATCCCGGAATGATATTGCAGATGAAGCTACAAAACTTGCAACTAAGAGATGGTTTATAGACATTTACATACCTCAGATTCTAGCACAGACAGAAAAAAACAGTTAAGCGATAGAGCAACGCAGATGATGTTGAGTGACCACAACACAGCAGCTGCAACATGAGGTTCAGCGGATTGTTACAAGAACTCACTCTACTATGAACCACTTATTTTGATGAAAGGGAACAATGAGAGAACAGAAGTCCACTTACACCGCATCAGGCTTGGATAACCTTCACATGAGGAAACAGGCTCACGGGTTCTAGAAGAGAGAGATCTAGCATCTCTCTTCAATATATCAGCATTAACTAGGAACACCAAATAAACCACAGGATCATTATCTAATATAGTGCAAGAATATAATATCAATGATCAGACAGAACTGTGAAACACAAGAACTGGTTCCTTGACACAATACACAAGTACCAGTACACAAGAGCTTATGAACCAGTACTCATGAATTAGTTCCTGGACTGGTTCCTGGATCTGTCTCTGGACTGGTTCCTGGACTTGCCTCCGGACTGGTTCCTGGATCTGTCTCTGGACTGGTTCCGGGACTTGCCTCCGGACTGGTTCCTGGACCTGCCTCTAGACTGGTTCCTGGACCTGCCTCTGGACTGGTTCCTGGATCTGTCTCTGGACTGGTTCCTGGACTTGCCTCTGGACTGGTTCCTGGACTTGCCTCTGGACTGGTTCCTGGACCTGCCTCTGGACTGGTTCCTGGACCTGCCTCTGGACTGGTTCCTGGACCTACCTCTGGACTGGTTCCTGGACCTGCCTCTGGACTGGTTCCTGGATCTGTCTCTGGACTGGTTCCTGGACTTGCCTCTGGACTGGTTTCTGGACCTGCCTCTGGACTGGTTCCTGGACCTGCCTCTGGACTGGTTCCTGGACCTGCCTCTGGACTGGTTCCTGGGCCTGCCTCTGGACTGGTTCCTGGACCTACCTCTCGACTGGTTCCAGGATCTGTCTCTGGACTGGTTCCTGGACTTTCCTCTGGATTGGTTCCTGGACCTCCCTCTGGACTGGTTCTTGGACTTGCCTCTGTACTGGTTCCTGGACCTGCCTCAGGACTGGTTCCTGGACCTTCGTCTGGACTGGTTCCAGGACCTGCCTCTGGACTGGTTCCTGGACCTCCGTCTGGACTGGTTCCAGGACCTCCCTCTGGACTGGTTCCAGGACCTGCCTCTGGACTGGTTCCAGGACCTGTCTCTGGACTGTTTCCTGGACATGCCTCTGGACTGGTTCCTGAACCTGCCTCTGGACTGGTTCCTGGACCTTCGTCTGGACTGGTTCTAGGACCTGCCTCTGGACTGGTTCCTGGACCTGCCTCTGGACTGGTTCCTGGACCTGCCTCTGGACTGGTTCCTGGACCTGCCTCTGGACTGGTTCCTGGACCTTCGTCTGGACTGGTTCCAGGACCTGCCTCTGGACTGGTTCCTGGACCTGCCTCTGGACTGGTTCCTGGACCTGCCTCTGTACTAGTTCTAGGACCTGCCTCTGGACTGGTTCCTGGACCTGCCTCTGGACTGGTTCCTGGACCTGCCTCTGGACTGGTTCCTGGACCTGCCTCTGGGCTGGTTCCTAGACCTGCCTCTGGACTGGTTCCTGGACCTGCCTCTGGACTGTTTCCAGGACCTGTCTCTGGACTGGTTCCAGGACCTGCCTCTGGACTGGTTCCAGGACCTGTCTCTGGACTCGTTCCAGGACCTGCCTCTGGACTGGTTCCAGGACCTGCCTCTGGACTGGTTCCAGGACCTGTCTCTGGACTGGTTCCAGGACCTACCTCTGGACTGGTTCCAGGACCTGCCTCTGGACTCGTTCCAGGACCTGCCTCTGGACTGGTTCCAGGACCTGCCTCTGGACTGGTTCAGTGGCTCTTGAGTAGCGTTAGGGTCATGTTCCATTACCGAGCTACGGAGGTCCTCAGGGCCTATTTTGAATTTTTATAAAAGAAGGTTGAAAAAGTGATGTGTCCGGCTGTGTATACGCATGAGCATTGATTAGCATGGCATCATGCTCACCTGGAATGTTGTTGGGGTAGGGTTGGGCAGGATTGGGTAAACGTGTAATACAGAGAGCGCCGAGAGCACCCAAATCGCCAATTCTGTCATCTTGCCCTAGGATTTTGTCTCGTGCTTGAGACAAGAGAGGTGGCGCCGGGGGAGAACTGGCCACAGAATCACTGCAGATATGCACTCTTAAGACGGTTGTAGCGCGATAGATAATCTGCAGACTGGACCAAAACTTTTACTTGTTCGCACTTGTTTAGCAAGAAGCCTGGAGCGTCTCCCAGCATCATGATTCATCAAGCACGTTACGTGTCTACTTAAAATACAGTGTACACCTTTTTTCAGTCATGTTTTCATAGTCTGTATTTCTTGAACAGTTTAAAACTTTGCCATGATTGCTGTAAGATATACAGGTTTCGTAAGTGAAGACGTTAATGCTTCTTGAATCCTGGCCCGGAGTATTTCCCAATGTTCTCAAGCTGTGGTGTCAGGTAAGACCCCCTTCATCGTCGAAGAACCCTGGCAAGGACTCTCTGAGCACTAGCGAGTCCACTTACGAGGTCTGTCCTGTCCTTGGAAGCAGTCAGTATCACTAATAATCATGCGTTGAGGGTGACCTCGTAGCGATCCGGAGCTCGTAAATGGTTTAGTAAATACAGACCAAGTCGCCATTATGAAGGTAAGAGGTACAGATCTCGTAAGTGTTTAAATGTTCATCTCACTTAACAGACTTTTTATGTAATTTACTTTTTTAGTAATATAAATTAAAACAGTGTTACAGTAACACAGAGAGACTTGCACATTGATTGCTGGGAATCGATCCCCGGCCGAGGCGAAAACAAATGAGCAGTTTCTTTCACCCTGATGCCCCTGTTCACCTAGCAGTAAATAGGTTCCTGGGAGTTAAACAGCTGTTACGGACTGTTTCCCGGGAGGGGGGGGGGGGTAAAACATTAAGTTAATTGATTGACAGTTGAGAGGCGGGACCAAAGAGCCAGAGCTCATCCCCCGCAAGCACAACTAAGTTATCTTGAGGTTATCTTGAGATGATTTCGGGGCTTTTTAGTGTCCCCGCGGCCCGGTCCTCGACCAGGCCTCCACCCCCAGGAAGCAGCCCGTGACAGCTGACTAACACCCAGGTACCTATTTTACTGCTAGGTAACAGGGGCATAGGGTGAAAGAAACTCAATGCCCAATGTTTCTCGCCGGCGCCTGGGATTGAACCCAGGACCACAGGATCACAAGCCCAGCGTGCTGTCCGCTCGGCCGACCGGCTCCCTTGTAGGTGAGTACATTAGAATTAACAGCGTTTTGCATCGACAGAAAAATGTTATCTTAATGAGGTGTCGACTCTGCGACGAGACGCATTAGTAATGAGCGGTAATGATGCATCTTGCGGAGGTACAGGAGAGGAGAAAACACTGTATCTAACAGAGATAACACACACCTGCTCCTATATCTGAAAGATAGCACACACCTGGCAGTATACCTGAGGGATAACACATACCTGGTAGTATACCTGAGAGATAACATACACCTGGCAATATACCTGAGAGATAACGTACACCTGGCAGTATACCTGAGAGATAACACATACCTGGCAGTATACCTGAGAGATAACACATACCTGGCAGTATACCTGAGATAACATGCACCTGGAAATATACCTGAGAGATAACATACACCTGGCAGTATACCTGAGAGATAACATACACATGGCAGTATACCTGAGGGATAACACATACCTGAGAGATAACACATACCTGGCAGTATACCTAAGAGATAACATACACCTGGCAGTATACCTGAGAGATAACATACACCTGACTAAATACCCAGCTCGTAGTATTCAATAATGTATGATATAAATAAAGTATGTAAGGAATAAAAATAAAAAGGTACAAACCTTAGCAATAATACTTAAAGGTAAACGGGTTAATTAAACGTGGCTGCATACAGTATTTAGTTATGTTTTCTGCTAATATAAGACCACTAATATATATTCAACCACCTTCCATTATCGTATTATTTATGTTAAATATCTCAGGTAAGTAGACGTTTCGACGGTGTGTGTGTGTGTGTGTGTGTGTGTGTGTGTGTGTGTGTGTGTGTGTGTGTGTGTGTGTGTGTGTGTGTGTGTACTCACCTAGTACTCACCTAGTTGTGTTTGCGGGGGTTGAGCTCTGGCTCTTTGGTCCCGCCTCTCAACTGTCAATCAACAGGTGTACAGATTCCTGAGCCTATCGGGCTCTGTCATATCTACACTTGAAACTGTGTATGGAGTCAGCCTCCACCACATCACCCCCTAATGCTTTCCATTTGTCAACCACTCTGACACTAAAAAAGTTCTTTCTAATATCTCTGTGGCTCATTTGGGCACTCAGTTTCCACCTGTGTCCCCTTGTGCGTGTTCCCCTTGTGTTAAATAGACTGTCTTTATCTACCCTATCAATTCCCTTCAGAATCTTGAATGTGGTGATCATGTCCCCCCTAACTCTTCTGTCTTCCAGCGAAGTGAGGTTTAATTCCCGTAGTCTCTCCTCGTAGCTCATACCTCTCAGCTCGGGTACTAGTCTGGTGGCAAACCTTTGAACCTTTTCCAGTTTAGTTTTATCCTTGACTAGATATGGACTCCATGCTGGGGCTGCATACTCCAGGATTGCCCTGACATATGTGGTATACAAAGTTCTGAATGATTCTTTACACAAATTTCTGAATGCCGTTCGTATGTTGGCCAGCCTGGCATATGCCGCTGATGTTATCCGCTTGATATGTGCTGCAGGAGACAGGTCTGGTGTGATATCAACCCCCAAGTCTTTTTCCTTCTCAGACTCCTGAAGAATTTCCTCTCCCAGATGATACCTTGTATCTGGCCTCCTGCTCCCTACACATATCTTCATTACATTACATTTGGTTGGGTTAAACTCTAATAACCATTTGTTCGACCATTCCTTCAGCTTGTCTAGGTCTTCTTGAAGCCTCAAACAGTCCTCTTCTGTTTTAATCCTTCTCATAATTTTAGCATCGTCCGCAAACATTGAGAGAAATGAATCGATACCCTCCGGGAGATCATTTACATATATCAGAAACAAGATAGGACCGAGTACAGAGCCCTGTGGGACTCCACTGGTGACTTCACGCCAATCGGAGGTCTCACCCCTCACCGTAACTCTCTGCTTCCTATTGCTTAGATACTCCCTTATCCACTGGAGCACCTTACCAGCTACACCTGCCTGTCTCTCCAGCTTATGTACCAGCCTCTTATGCGGTACTGTGTCAAAGGCTTTCCGACAATCCAAGAAAATGCAGTCCGCCCAGCCCTCTCTTTCTTGCTTAATTTAATCTGTGTCACCTGATCGTAGAATTCTATCAAGCCTGTAAGGCAAGATTTACCCTCCCTGTGTGTGTGTGTGTGTGTGTGTGTGTGTGTGTGTGTGTGTGTGTGTGTGTGTGTGTGTGTGTGTGTGTGTGAGTGTGTGTGTGTTAATGTTTGATATATGTGTGTAGCATTAGAACTGCGTAGATTTAGATAACAGGTGTGTGGGGTGGACTGGAGGTAACAGGTGTGTGGGTGGGCAGGAGGTAACAGGTGTGTGGGTTGACTGGAGGTAACAGGTGTGTGTGTGGACTGGAGGTAACAGGTGTACTCACCTAATTGTGCTTGCGGGGGGTGGAGCTCTGGCTCTTTGGTCCCGCCTCTCAACTGTCAATCAACTGATGTACAAATTCCTGAGCCTACTGGGCTCTATCATATCTACATTTAAAACTGTGTATTTAGTCAGCCTCCGCCACACTAATGCCTAATGTATTCTATCTGTTAACTACTCTGACACTGAAAAAGTTCTTTCTAACGTCCCTGTGGGTCATTTGGGTACTCAGTTTCCACCTGTCCCCCCTTGTTCGCGTACCACCCATGTTAAACAGTTTTAGCTTTATCTACTCTGTCAATTCCTCTGAGAATTTTGTAGGTAGTGATCATGTCTCTCCTTACTCTTCTGTCTTCTAGTGCCGTGAGGTGCATTTCTCGAAGCCTTTCCTCGTAACTCATGCCTCTCAGTTCTGGGACTAGCCTAGTGGAATATCTCTAGCCTAGTGGAACTTTTCAAGCTTCGCCCTGAGCTAGACAAGGTACGAGCTCCATGCTGGGGCCGCATACTCCAGGATTGGTCTTACATATGTGGTATACAAGGTTCTGAATGATTCCTTACACAGGTTTCTGAAGGCAGTTCTGATGTTACCCAGCCTCGCATACGCCGCAGATGTTATTCTTTTGATGTGGGCTTCAGG